GCTAAAGCATTCCTGAAAAAGTGAGATGCTTCTTACCTTTAAGGGAATGACTTCAAATTCTACAGTATTACAGTGTTCTGTCATCCATAACCACAATGTCAGTCTCCTCAAGAGGAATCTTGTTCTCTTAGGCTGAAGAGAGTTCCCAGGACTAACCCACACTTCAAAGCCCTCTCTTTTCTTATCTCCTATTCATGTTTTGAGAATGAATTATTTCAACAACCAGATGTTATTTGCTCTGATCAGTTAGAATGTTGCTGTTACAGTCTCCTTATTACCCAAAATACTTGGACACAAAAGGGTTTTTGGATTTTTTTTTTTCTTCTTCTTTTCTCCTCATTAAGCCTCTGAATTCTGCTACGTGCTACTCCATACATACCGTACAAGGTGTCTTCTCCAAAAATATCCTCAGAAGCAGCGTTAGCTCTTCTGAACGTGTCTGTGAACTCATCAAGGACACTAACAGGTCTACCAGCACCATCTGACACGCTAAAAGCAAGATGAGAAAATACTCTTGAGAAGAGTTTTTAAAAGCTTTAAACATGTATATTCCACACTACTATGAGGAAAGATTAACTTGGAATTCAGACTATTTTGTGAAAAGATTTCCAATCCTGGAAGCAGTAAGGATTACATGATGAACTTTAGAGAGATTCAACAGTACTTCCTGACACTGCCATTCAAATTACCGTTGAAGGAATCCGGATGGCTACAGCAAGTCTTGGCTCCCAGGTTTGCCAAGTGGAGTCCGAAAGTCTGGGAAAGTAGCATCTACACTGCAGCAGCTCTCCCCACAAAGCCGGGGATCAAAGTCCTGGGATGGGTATACATCCTTTCCTGCTGTGGAGCAACCTCACTGTGTCAGCCTACCTTCGGGCAAGCATTTCATTTGCTTCCACATTCTTGGATGAGCTAGCTGTTTTCCGATTTGAAATACAACTCAATAAAGACATCACTAAACCCAAAGATATTTGAAAGAAGAACTTAAGTTGTGACAGCGTCACATTCAGTAAGCAAGATAACTGCTATTTTTCCCAGCAAAGTTTAACACTGCCACCCTAGGTTTATGATTTCAACTATCATTTTCTGATCTGCCAACGTGTGTTTAAATAACAGATTTCCACTAGCTCAGAAATAACCCTGTATTTACACACGGGTCAGATACTTGTCACAAGCTGAAGCAGCTGCATAAATTCACACATGCCAAAGCATTTGCTTTGTCAATTTCGCATTTGCATTGTGAATATATATACAGGCACTCAAATTTTTAGTTATGTTCTAAGAACAACAATATTTAAGTTACCCTGAAATAAGTGTAAAAACCACCGCATTAAAAACTCAGGAGCTCACCATGATAACTGGGGTCTGTCTGTGTCAATATGTTCAGAAACCCTCCCAGAAGATGTTTAACAGCTCCCTATTAAAAAAGACAAAAACGGGAAAGTGGTTATCTGAAAAATAAACACCAGCTGAAAGAATAATTTATTTTAATCAATTCTTGTCTACTCTTGATTTTAAATACAAATCTCAGTTACTTTAGATTATGGAAATACTTCTTTATATTTGCTAATGATCATTCTCTCATGTGCTGGACAGCTCAGTTACAGAAGAGAGACTTAGAAATCAAAGTTATTCTAGGAAGAAACCATTGAGCCATTATCAGTTTAGCAGTTAAGATCTCCCTTGTCTCCTCCCCCGTAACAGTTATGGGATTTGACAGGCTGTGACAAAATGCAGTGTATTGACACAGTGATGCAATACTTGAAGCACATTCAACCTTTCCCTAACCTTTTTAGCCAAGATTACTTTAAAAAGTAATTACATAAAGCCTTTTGCTTACAAGCATCCTTCACAAATGCATCTTGGATAAAGGCAATTTGAAAAGCATTTGAAGGCATTAAAACCCTCTAAATTCATTAGTTTGATCAACTGCTCTTTCTAAATGATAGTGAAGAGTAATGAAAATGAGATTTTCAGTTGTAAGTAGTTTCACACGTGTAAGCTCAGGGCAAAGAAATACATGTGTGCTAGTTATTGAAAGCTAGTAATTCACACAAACAATTGGAGTACTGAAATAAAACAAGGTTTTCCTTTCCTGCTTTTCGTTTAAGTTGTAAAGCACCGACTTTGCTTCTCAGTCAAACGGTTAGATAAACAGGCACGTCAAGCTCAGATTAACCATATTTCCATCTTCTGCAAAACAGGCATACCCAACTTAGTCACCAAAAAATCTAGCCATCAGAAAACCCAAGGCACCATGAGGTGATCACCACGAGCACACCTCATTTCTAATACAAACTTACAAACAATAGAAGCGAGAACTCTTTTTGAGGTACACCACTGATTAGAAGGTTTACATATACACACGTACAAGACGGTATTTGTGATGTTTTTTCCAATGGTCTGACAATCATTAAATCTGTACCTATAGCTCTTGAGACTGAACAGTCTTGATAAAGGAAGGCAGCTGAAACTCAAAAGCACTGTAGGGCAAATATCACTCAACACATGAGTCAGCCATAGTTCCTGGTAACATAGCAGCTGGCAATATGAGACACTTACACTGGCTCCAGGTTTTACCAAATGCCATACCAAGCGCGAGTATTTCTGGAGATGACTATTAGGTATATGGGTACTACAGAACTGAATAAAAAGACCAACACCGGCTAAGCTGTCGCCTTTGGTCATAACGGTTTTACCTGTTCTATAAGTACAGTGGCATTTCTCTCCTTCTGGCTGACGATTTTCAGGCAGCTTTGGAACACATGAGCAAGCACATCTAAACTCACAGTACCAGCTGAGAGCAAGTTTAATTCTAACATGCAGATTTCAGGATACAACAGTTCTCCTTGACTGAGGTTTTCAGCTGGGTCATTAAAATAACCTGAAGGACCAGCACATCCCGGTTCTGCTTTTGTGTCTGCTCCTGAAAGAAAACACTTGTCTTACTGAACCATACTCAGCTGAATACAGTTTGCATGATTTAGGCACCACATCCAAGGACATACTTTCTCCAACATTCTCATAGGTACCAAAGGAAAAGAGCCAGCAGCTTATAAGCAGATTTCAGAAGTTAGGATAGTCTTCTGTTCTGCTTCAGATTTTCATATTTTCCTGCCAATACAGAAGGGCAAGGATTCGTTTCTCCTGTTACATGCCCTTAAACTATGTGCCTTCACTTCCTGGGAACTAGGCACACACAGTAATGATGAAACATGACAGTAAAAACAATGTAATTGAGCCTCAAGCTTCTAGACAGAGCTCAGAGCCTGCCAAGAAAGGACATACATGCACCAGATTTCACTTCATGTCAAAGGGTTGGGGGAGGCGGTTTAGTTCAGTAACTCTGAAAATGAGAGAGTACCTCCATGACAACCAAAAAAGCAAAAGAAAAACATTTAAGCCCTCCCCTATCTTGGAGAGACTTTAACACACATTGCTTAAAGTTATTTGGTACAGACATACGTTTCACACAAGCATTTCAGGTTAAGTTTTTAATTCAGAAACCCTTTTAGAGTGTTTTATGTCTCTTGATAGAGCCTCGTCACACAGGTCAACAGCAACAGCTGAATGCAGCTCTCAAAGGCTGCACTCACACTAACTTCATGCAAGAACATAAGCATCCAGATGTTCGGCACAAAGGAAAATTAAAGCAAGTTCTGGTTCAAAACTAATTACACCAACAGAATACAGCAAGAGATGTTCACATCAGTTGCTGACTGACTATAAAGGGGTGTAATTAGAATGATGTTTACTAGATTGCTGTAATGCTAAATAAAAAAAAATTGAACATTGATTTTCAGACAAACTACTGAAAAGCATCTCTGGTGAAAACTACTTCTAGACTGCATCAAGAGATTTGAGCAACCTGAATTTAAAGCAAGAGTCATATAAACCAAGAAAACCAAGCCAGAACAGTTCCTGTAATACTCGGTAAGAGATGCATCACCTTTCCATCTGTAATGGCACCCTACTAGGAGTAAAGAAGTTCACAAGTTCCGTCAAACGTCTGATGCTCACTCTATGTGCTGGTTTTACTACCCTATTTCTGCCCTTCTCAAAAGACACGCAAGCTTTGCTGTGTCAAAGACAGCTCTGTCTAGTCCGCAAGTTCACATTTACCTTCATTGTTGGTTTCACTGTCATCGGGGTTACTCTCACTGTCCGCTTCATATCCTTCTTCTTCAGCAAAAAGTTGAAGGCTACAGCACTGCGGTTCTTCCGTTTCTTCAGAAATATCGGCGGGTTGTGACACAGGAGCCGTTTCAGTGTAATGGGTCTGTAGAACACAAATTTATCATTTTTGGTCAGAAAAGCAATTTAAGAACCTTCCAGATGCCCATTTTCTCCAAGCTCACCAGCAAGAGAAGCAAACTCATCATATACTTGCAAAAAACTTGAGATATGCTTTACTACAGATACTTCACTCTTACACAGAAAACGGACTCAGGAAGAAAAATCCATCTTTGCAAACTACCTGATCAAAGCTCTGTTGAGCTGGTGGCCAACGCCTCAAGAATTACTGCATTTCCAAAACCACTATCACAACAGACACTCATCTTGACATTCACTTTAAGGTGAAGATACGTCTGCAGCCACTGAGGCCAGTCACCATCCCTGGTGGAAGCTCTCCCTCCGACAGTTCGTCGCACACTGCTGTGGGACGAAAGGGCGAAGAGAACGCCCGGTTGCGGGTACGCCCTTGAAGTGTAACACAGCTTGCACCCTTCTGGGGCACGACTTGTTTCTGTGGGAGCATATCAGTAACCTCCATTCAACTTCCACGCTTACAGATGAGAATCAGAAAATTACATCTTCAACCGCCACAACAACCAAACACATTTACAAGTGTCCTACTGGGTTTAAAGACAGACCTGAGCAACATACACCCAGTGAGCAAACGCTGCACTATTTTGATTTTGATGACTCGGATGGTGTTTCATACCTTCTCAGTTTTTTCTTCAGAATGATCCAGATCAGCAGAAAAGGTGCCCAACGCAACACGAAGCAGGGAATCAAAGAGAGGCTTTGCCAAGTCAGTTTCTATCACTTTTGATTGAGCAAGCTGCTCTCTTATTTGAAGTAAGATATCATCCACTCCAGTACTCTGTTTTGGGGGAGATAAACATTTTCATTCATGTTACTCTGTTTTGGCTAACAGGAATGGTCTAGTAATTTAAAGAACTGCTCCTTCCACCTCCACTCATCTGGCTTCTCAGCTAAAGCCATCAGACTTCACCCAGTCTCTTGCAGTAAGAAAGATTCATCCTGTTTGTCATGACAAAATGTAGCTGGTTAAGCAATCTGCACACTGAAAAAATCTGGCAACGTGCTGTTTCCCAAACATCACAAGTGAATGTACTGTTTCAAAAATAAATGTCTCTGAAACAGTTTAGAGTACATGGGGCATGCAGATCACACCACGATATTACTAGAGAAGTTAACAGGGCAGAAGGTGACATGTCCAAGTTCACAAAAACAGTGCTTGGCCCAGACAGAATTCCAGTTTCTGGTTCTCCCCTGGAGGTAACACCTCCTGCTTCTGTAACAAGCTGCCAAGCAAAACAAGACAGCAACGAAAACATTAAAGCCCACTGAAGGCATCTTCTGTGAAGTCACAACTTGGTTGAGCACAGAATTAGTCCAGCTCTAGAGCTTAAGTAATAGTTTTTTCAGGTGCCCCTTCAGTACCTGTGCCCTCAGCATTCCTCTTTCTCAAGCGCCTGCTCTGCTCAGAACGCTCTGAAACACCATGTGTGAATCACTACGTGCAACGCTCACGTCTTGACTACGCAGCTCTCCTTCAATCCCACCAGTCTCCACTGAATACCCTTTTAAAAAACACCAAAACACAACTCCCAGGTCTCTCCCACCGTTCCAATCCCATCAGCTCAGACTGCCACTGAAGAATGTGGGACTGGACTGAAGAACTACATGGGGAAAAACCAGAAAAAGCAGGCCATAACTGACCAGAAAAAAACCCAAACAAACAGAAAAAAAACCAACAGGCACAATCAGTCACCAATTGATAGCTGTCAACATCCACTGCTGCCCATGCAGCCAGGGGAAACCTCTCCTTTCCTCTAGTCAGGACCATTTTATGCAAAAACACCAAAATTTTCATCTGCCAGGATCAGTCTTCCCTGGGACTCAAGATACCTTGCAAACAAACTGCAACAGGTACATGAAAAATAAACGCGAAACAGGTCAAAGAAATGAGCAAGGTAAAAGCCTCATCCAGCCTGGATCAACCTGCCATTCTGGAAGTCTCTCCCAGCCCCCAAGGAGCTGGCAATTGGCATGAGCAGGGATCCAACCCAACAGAGCGGAGGACAAGATTATGTTGGAGAACAGCAACCGCCAGTTTGTTCATCCACCCTCTCCCACTCTCATGCCTGCCGACCACTACCCCTGACTACTGAGCACACCACCGAAGCATACGCTTTTGGCACGACACAAAAAATACGGTACCATAATGAAGGCATCAGCTTTTTTCATCTCCACAGGAACTTTTAACCGGATACACTTGTTATTGCTTTAACAGTAGAGTCAGGTAACCCCAGGGAAGTTGCACAGTACCTGGTGAGGCATCTCCGTTTCCATCTTCTGCTGCATGGTGCTTGCACTGTGCAGACAGATTGTCAGCAGAGCTTCTAGAAGTCTGATGCCTTGAAGGGCCCACTCAGTCTCCTCTCTTACAGAAGTCTTCATCCCTTCAAGACTGGCAACGGAAGCCACTGAAGCCTGTTCCTTACTCAAAGAGCTGTCACAGGAGACACATTCAGGCACCAGCTGTTCTGCACCAGCAAGACCATCTGAACTATCGAGCTCCAGTTGAGTCACTTCTCTGCTTTTAGCCAGTTGAACAGAGTCACCCCTGTTGAGAAGCTCACCACGAGGACTCCCATGTGAGCTTCTGCTGCTTTCACTCAATACTCTCTCCCTCTTCCTTTGCTCCTTTTCCTTATTTTTTGCAAGTCTCTGAATTATCAGGATTAGTAACCTATGGCATGCTTCAAAGCCTCCAAGTCTATGGAACTGTCGCTGGAAAACTGAACTATGCAAATATATGCAACGACACATGGACCAAATATCCGCAGCCCTGTGAACATGTTCCAGGGAGGGCAAAGTAAGGCTTTCCAGTGACAGATATGGTAATTTGCGGCCTAATTGCTCACTAGCGGTACTATCGTATCCTGACGTATCTTCAGAGTCATTAGCTGAATCCAGATCGCCATCTGCTTCTTTACTTACACATAAAAAAGCCACACAGAGGAATAGGTTTATCGTATCGACGTGAATGTCTTGGCTGACAAACTTTTTCTTTTTTGGGTAAGCCTCTTTCAAGCCAGCATAAAACTTGCTCAGGCTTTGAGGAGCTTCTGACACAGCATGCTGGCTACAAAGAGACGCAGGCAAGTCAGACGTAGACTCCTGTTGTTGGCTGTTCAGCTCTTCCAGTTCTGGCATTGCATAGCCTTTCTGCTGATCACCAAGGCAGAGTATCAAAGTCTCTAACACTTTCAAAGAATGGCTTCTTAAGGTATCTAAGTAATTTAACTCGGTCATTTGATTCACTCCATTACAGCTCAGAAACAAGTCTCTAATTACCCTGCAAGAGAAAGCATTGGAGTTACCTTACAAGTCAGCCACAAATTCACGTAGCTCAGATGGTATCCCATCCAAAAATAACCCTCGGTTCTACACACCTGAGTAACACCAAAAACTCATCACATTTACAGCAGTTGCTGTAAGTTACTGTGAACTGAAAATTAAAGAGGAACTTGTTTGCAGTACTCTAGAGTCCCCAGTAAACATCATTCATCTGGTAGTAGAAAATGCCATTTTTTGGCAAGATTTAATGTAGGAAATACTGCTTAACCTCCAAAATGTAGACCACAAAGATGTATGATGTCCAAAACATTAAAGGTGTTTAACTATATGACATTTGCTCTTTAGTGGTACTTCCTCCCCTTAACTTTTTACTAGCAATTGGAGCTAGTATCTTTATTTCTCACAGTTTTGTAACTTCACCAGAAAGTCCAGATTCCTTCTCAAACAAATTTGAGGTTTTAAGACCTTTTACTAGCTATGTCTACTATTTGCATGGACCACGCCTTTCACACAGAATTCACAAATACCTTTCAAGCACAGCTTTCTGTGTGAGTGTTACACCAGGACGTCCAATGTTAAACAACCACCCCACCTGCCCAAGTATATTTTCCCTTCTTTCCACTCCAAGTATTACATTAACTTCATATGGAATTTGGGGTAAGGACGTATAAGCTTCCTGGTGTACTATGTTCACTTGCAGACATCCACCTTCCTTACCCTCTCATCTCCTTCCCCCTGGGTCAGCTTTTACTGTAACCAAGTTAAACACTCTCGAACCAAATGATTCATGAACTTACTTGCATATTCCCATCTTTAAGTCAGTAAGAAATAGGATATGTTAAACCTTTTTTTAATCTAATCTTTACTTCTCTTGCCTCTTGGCCACTAAGTCCACTTTAAAAAGTTAACAGCTTGTCATACAGCATAGGTTAGGCTCAGAGTTAAAAATGTAATAGACAATCCTCATATAAAGTGGAGTACAATACTAGCCTATTCTTTGTAGCTGTCTCAGGCAACCCTACCGAATTCACTGCAGTCTATCAGGACTCCAACGGAAAATATCAGACTCTTTCCTGGGTGAAAGGGCACATTCATATTCTGAATAAGCTTCTCCATGTCCTGTGAAACAACTATTTCATCACATCAATGATAAATAGGAAAGGCTCTTTTTAACACCTTGGAAGAATGATTTTTTTTTTTTAAGACTATGTTTAAATTAGCAGGATTTTGTCAATTAGGAAACAGTTATTTCAGGACAAGTAAAACTCTCAAGCCTTCCAAATGAGAGGTGGTTTCTATTCTCAAAGGAAGAGGGAAACAGATGAGAAACCGAAGTAGTCTAATTCCCACAGAAAAGTGACATGTGAATCTGTTCAACATTCCTGATTCACTTTAGCATGAGGAATGAAGAGGCAAAGAGCATATCACACTGGACAAAGATTTTATCTGTTTCTAGGCACTCTGGCATTAGAGCCCATAACCCATCAGTAGAGAGCCCTCACTTTCTATGGTTTAGGGATCTAGGACCAAAACTTACATTATTCAAGCATTTATCTTGTTGCCACCCCTAAAATACGCAAGTGCATGCTACAGTCCACCTAAAACTTCATTCTGATCAGTGACCAATATACAGAGCTCAGTACATAACCAGCATGCTTCCATTAACAAACAGAAAATCAACCAACCTGGATTTAAGCAACACAGGGAGCGCCTGCAAATAGATCTGAAGTACTTCCAAAGGCAAACCCTGGCTGTGGTAGCTGCACGTGTGTTTATCAGCTGTAGTCAGTCTGAGTTGTTGAGCGTGGCAAGCTAGCTCAACCCCTCTCTGAAGCACAGGATTGTAAATAGAGTTATAGAGCTTCCACTGGACCACTGCATTTCCCTTTTGAATTAAGTGGCAGACATGGCTTGCAACCTGCACGCCACGTGGCTTGTCTTCGTCAAAAACAATGTCCTGATAAGCCTCCAGTGCATCCCATCTCAACAACACATCTTCAGATCCACTGCTAGGCAGAATTCCCTGAACTCGGCAAGAGGAAGTAGGCGCAAGACCCACATCGCTAGAGTGGCCCCGCAGGGTGTCTTCCAGCTGAGCAAGTTGGTCAGAGTCAACAGTACATATATTGCACGATGCCTGTATAATTTTTGGAGAAACTTCTGCTCCACCCAGCTGGTCCAATATGAACTTGTTAAGGATGTTCAATATGTGCTGTTGAAAGTTTTTTAATATTGGCAGCTTGGAAGCACGGAGCAACGGGACAATCACAGACTTGGGATCCATACAGCAACATATTCCCACATTATGTACACCCAAGAGAATCTGAACACAAGTACTGCTCAAGGAAACCTGCTGCAACAAGTGCAAACACTGGTGTGCACAGACAGCAATGCAGCAGCACCTGTCAGGGTAGTGAACTTCTCCGTCAGCAGTTTCAAAGGGGCTTTTGGAAGCTTGGTTTTTAAAAGCAGATACAGAGAGCCCAGAGAGATCTCTGTGGTGATGCATGAAGTGGGAGTACTCACACCGCCTGTGCCGCTTTCTTGTACACACCGACTGATGGAGCTGCTCCGATTTCACTTTTTTGACGGTGCTGATGATTTTCATGATGCTGTTGATCAAGGCTTTCAGATGCTCTGAGGCTTCCCCAGGTACTCCCTCACTCTTCATACACAGCCATTCCATCTGAAGCACCGTTACCTCAAACAGCTTAAATCCCTGATGCTGTATGAACTCATGAACCAGATCTATAGCTTGGCTGAAGTAGAAAGGATTGGAGGCTGCACTTTGTAGGCAGCAGATCAGAATCTGCAAGACCCCTTCTATAACCTCAGGTAGAAGCAAGGCTCTGTGATGGTATCTAGAAAACATGAAGTTATCCTGATCCGGCTGCTGTAGTGTTTTCTTGTATCCTGGAGCAAAAGGATCAGGTTGCTTTCCCAAGCCAGTTCTGATTTTTAACGCAGCTTTAAGCAAGTCCGTTAGATTTCTTCTTAAGTTGTCGGGCATTGTTTCCGTGTTGCTAATGTCTAAATTGTTGGAAAGAGCATCCTTTGGACCAGAGCCACAGGTTCTTCCGTCCACCCTGTGGAAACTGCTTCCGTTTCGGTGTTACTACTACTCACACCGCAAGAGTCCCCAAATCCGGATAAGAACTCTGTCAACGTGGGCACCACACTAGCTGAAAGAGCAGAACTGTGATTCAAAGTAATATCAAATTTGCACACTTTCTCTAGGAGTGACAATAAGACATGGCATAAATCAAAGGGAGAGTTATCCATGTTGCTCTCAGCAATTCCCGCAGCTGGCTCATTCAAAATCTCTGGGTTTAGCCCGTGTGCTGGAGTAATTTGGCTGGAATTTTCTAGATTAGGGGCATCAGGAGCAGAATTCGGTACCACTTCTGCGGGTAAACAATCACTTCTACCTACAAGGTGGCTGTCCCTAACTGGGTATGTCAGAAAAGGTTGCAGTAAGTGGGAGCGCCTGCGTTCCGTTACTACAGAGGTCTTGTCATCAGAATTGCCTTCTGAATCCGAAGTGGACAGCTGAGATCTTCTTGCATCCCGCACGGAATAACACTGGGTGGTTTTGCGCAGGCGCCCGCTTTTTCGAGCTCGAGCATTCAGTTTTACGGCAGTCCGAAGAGCTGAACGAGTGCCTCCATCTAAGCCTACTTTTTCCTGAGTGGATTTCACGGAACTGGAATTGTTCTCTTTGGTCAGGCATATGCCTACTGTAAAGGGTATATTAAATCCTGTTGAAACAGGAGATAAAAGGAACATTCAGAAACATTATAGTACGTAAAACATTCTTCTTAATTTCATGGTTTAACACTTTCAGCTTAGAAGTATGAAATAAATGTGTATCCCAATAGGTCATGGTGTTGCATATACCCATGTCTGATGTTTTCAGTACAAAAAAAAGTCAGGAACAACTCATGTTTGGGAACCACCCTGGCTATTTTCAAAACCTAGACAAATTAGTTCATTTTCTAACTAGGGTCAGACAAAAATGTGCTAGAGAGTAGAGAGTTGTAGAGAACTTCTCCTGTAGGCATAGCTATTCTGTTTGCTATTAACGTAGATGAAGAGACATTTCAGTAAGCGAAGGGAAGAAAGTTTAGTCTGCAAATCATCTGGCCTGTTACAGATAGGATATAGAGGAACAGTGTAGGCACAAGCCTCTGGTTATATTCCATTTAAATTCGGGTAAGTTAGACATACTGATACACCAAAATGTAAAGTATTAACCAGCAGGATACCAGCTCCGAGATCTCCTCTCTCACTTGCTAAGGAAGCAGCAGTTTTAGCCAGTTACTCAAGCAATATCAGTATATTTGAAGCATCACTATTAGCATTGCCAAACAGCCCTATCCCACAAGTGATGAACGCCAAGGGGAGGAAAAAAAGGTCTTTTTCAACTTGATGACCCATTGTCACTTTTTGCAAGTCAGCTGCTACAGGAACTGGGTGCATTAGCCCTCTTACAATGCATGAAGAGGAAACTGTTAGCACACCCGCAGTAACAGAATAAAGTAATTTCCCTACTTAGAAACAGTGTGGATCTTCAAGTATGCAGGCCTCAGTCTTTACTTCAGTGTTAATTGTTCTAAAACAAAAAGCAGAAATAAAGATACTGGATTTTAAAATGATCAGGGACAAGAGGGAGATGGAAAAGAACAATATTTAAGGTGCTGAATATTCCCATAAAAGCCAAGCCAAAAAAACCCTTTCGAGTACGCAGTATGAAATAGCCAATGTAAAATTTAAATCTGATTCAATAGGCAAGAATATGTTGAACAATAACATAAGTACCACCAGTTAATTTGTACTGGTAAACTCAGAGGAAAAAAGCCTATATGTTCTTGGATAAAATCTGCCCTCATTTTTAACCAGAAACAGAACTGCATCTGGTTGCCTAGGCTAGTAAATACCCAGCATGAAACAACTGCAAGTACTGACCATCCAGTAAGTTCAGTATTTAACAAAATGTGATAGATGGCACTAACAGTCCCCCAGTAGATACAATCATTAATCAAACTGAAAGGAGATGCTTCCGTGTGCAGGCATGACTGCGCCTTGCTGTTCCGCAGATCATAGTTATGATGCTCAAGGAGGAAACATCATCCAGTTTGGAGGCAGGAAGTTAACCAGGAGTACTTCATCAAACAAAGGGCATTTCCAACAGAGAATGAAAAAAGCTGCCTAGTCCAGGTGGATCTACTTCAGTCCAAGACAAGAAAAAATAAGAGCTCTTTGCACAGAATGGGATACATATCATGCTTACTGCATCAGTACTACGGAAGGGAAATCTGCAGAAACAAAAACTGTGCACTATGCAGAGTGCAAACCCAGAACGTCTTAAAACCTATTTGCACACCAGCATTTTAAACTAACCCTGGAAAAGTCACTGAGTTCTAAGATAATCAAAATGGTTTTTCAATTCTATCATGCTTACAGGAGCACGAAAGAATGATGAAATTGAGCAAGAGGAAAAGTTTATTATATAAAATGATATGAAACTGGCATTTTAAATACTCCCAAGTCTACAAATATTAACAAAAGCCTTCAAATTTGCAGGAGTTTCAAATGGGAGGGAAAAAAGAAAAAAAAAAAGGAGATCTTCAGGTGAGAACCCTTGGGAACTCTGGACAGGTAACTTAAGTTGTTTCATCCTCTTTTTTTTATCGTCTAATAAGGAAAAGAATGCATCAGACAAATTCAAGAGCCCAAAGCAAACAAACCTTGCCATTTCCTGGTTTAGTTTTTATGCAGATTATTTTATACCATCCCTTTTAGTTCACTTTAAGCTGACTCTTCGGCAGTTAAACCCTTGTGAATCAATTCCTCAATCAGCACACCAGTTTCTTACACAGAGCATCATATTTTCTAAGGAATGTAGACAGGTTCTGTTCATAATCATCCAGTGTTATTCTATTTTTTTAGGACCTGTCTTCCTGATAAAACTGCATTTTTCCTACTCTGTCTACTGTTTGGCTTTAAGCTTACCTCTACTTCCCGTTTCCTCAATTTTAGAAGAAAAAGTCTGTTTCATTCATAGAATCAGAGAACGGTTTGGGTTGGAAGGGACCTTAAAGACCATCCAGTTCCAACTCCCCTGCCATGGGCAGGGACACCTTCCACTAGACCAGGTTGCTCAAAGCCTCATCCAGCCTGGCCTTGAAGACATCCAGGGATGGGGCATCCACAGCTTCTCTGGGCAACCTGTTCCAGTGCCTCACCACCCTCTCTGTGAAGAACTTCTTCCTGATATCTAATCTAAACCTCCCCACTTTCAATTTAAACCCGTTACCCCTTGTCCTGTCACTACAGGCCCTTGTAAAAAGTCTCCCCCAGCTTCCTTGTAGCCCCTTCAGGTACTGGAAGGCTGCAATCAGGTCTCCCCGGAGCCTTCTCTTCTCCAGGCTGAAGAAGCCCAATTCTCTCAACCTGTCCCCATAGCAGAGGTGCTCCAGCCCTCTGAGCATCTTCGTGGCCTCCTCTGGCCTCGCTCCAACTGGTCTATATCCTTCTGATGTTGGGGGTTCCACAGCTGGATGCAGTACTGCAGGTGGGGTCTCACAAGAGCAGAGTAGAGGGGGAGAATCACCTCCCTCATTCTGTCTCTAGTGCCAGCATGTATCACTTTTTTTTTTTAAAAGAATCAGTATGTTTTTCCCTTTTACCCATCATGAAACACTTCACATGAGCAAAAATATCACTTACTCTTTCAAACCTCTTTTACTCCCAAATCACCTGAAAAAAGAAGTATCACCACCAGCAAACCAAGTCCAGCTACACAGTAACGTGAGCACTGCCCTTCCCACCAACCAACAGCCTTCACCTTCTCTATACCATTTCCATCTTCCCTGCAGGCTGACACAACATCGGTATTTGAGTTGAAGTTCTCTGCAGAATCCACCCTCTTGGCACAGAACGAAGATGTATTACAACGAACTACTGCTCTTCAGTTGGGAATCCGCAGCTCTGTGGTACTCTAACCACTTCTTTAAAGGTCCTTAATACTGAGTGGGATGGAACATACCTATTGCTTTTTCCTCTTGGACGGGGATTTTCCACACCAGTGGCAGAAGTGACAGGAGGAGTGTCAGAAGTTCTTCCCGACATGTCAGCTCCTACGTTAGGCACAAAATAGAAACAATTTTGTACTTCTAAAAAAATAGGTTAACCTTCTTTATTTTACAGAGCTACTCAACATGCCGTTCCCTATGCCTTTCTGCTGGCCTGTGCACTGAAAAATGACCTAACCGCAAGGAGTGCTATAATCATTACCTGGAGCCCAGCAGAACGCATCCAAGGTCTTCATTACACCTCTGCAACCCATTCCATCCAAAACTCCCCTAATCCCTCACACAAAGAACAACACCAGGAACGGTAAAAGCAAATCACTTGTTGGTTTAAACAAAGCCAACATGAAGCCCAAGACAAAGTTTGAAACTTCCCAGTTATGTTTTTGGAACTACAGAAGAACTTTATGGGAAGCTTCCTCCTTACACCACAATGGTGCCTTTAAGCAAAGGAAGATGCTTACGTGTATCAAGTGACGTTACTGACTCACAATAGAAGAAGATTTATGGGAGAAAAGAGGGAAAATTACCCTTAATTAAAAAAAAAAAAACCCACAAACAGAATAACCACCAAGAAAACCCTCACTCCTACTAGGATTAAGACTTATACACTAAGAATTTCAATGCAGAGAGGAACAGCATTCCAACATAATTCCTTTACTGGGTGCTATGCACCACTAACAATTGTTTCAGTCTTAAAGATCAAAAATTTTCACACACAAAAAGCTGACTTGAGCATTTTGGCAGATGGCTGAAACAACAACCTTCTCCCAAAACTTGAAGGTATCAATGAAATTAAAAGGTATGGAGATAAGTAACTTTATAAATAACAAATATATACACTTAGATGGATAGTTATATAACTAATACCTGTTTTTTAAACACTGGGATCTGCAGTTCAAAGGACAAAGAGGTAATGCAAATCTCATCCTGCCCATTGCTTAGTGCAGTGCTGAAGAGGAAGAAGAGCAGGAAATGGACACCTGCTGCTACAGGGATGTGTGCTAGACTTCATATGTAAAAAAAAAAAGTATAAACTGACCATCACTTCTAAAATGCTTCCTCTCTTGAGCTAAAGAGCAAAAAAATATATCTCATTGCCCATACGCAACATAGAAGGTTTACATTTTAATTATATCTTCTTGGAGGGCCTTCTCAAATTAAAAAAATGCCAGTTTGTACTGCAGGGTCATTAAACACTCATTTCTCTTGAAAATTCTGACCTACTGCCTCCTTCCACCCAGCTACTGCAACCGAGTTTCACACATGCCTTAACCAGTCAAAAGTTTACCCACCATCAATATCAGCAGGCAAACAGGCATGTGATCAGCTATTTTTTCTTCTGTTCTTACTGAAGGACAGAATACAACTGCCACGTATCACTTTGAACTTCCTGTCTCCACAGTTAACTCATCCGATCAGTATAAAGAGGCAAGACGACCAGCAGCAACAGGAACATGAGCCAGACGAAGCTCAATAAAAGAGTTATAACCAGGTAAGACAAAGCCATTACCTGATCAATAGTGGAGTTCAGAGTGGTGAGCAAAATAAACCCACGGCCTTGAACCAAGTATTGGCCCAGTGCTGCCATATGAGTTTCTTCCTCTTCATCTTCCTTGGCCTCTGCCCTCTGCACCACTGCATTGCACAGCCTGTTGACATCCGTCAGGAATTCCCGTGCCAGTGAGTTACTGGCACTGCTCATGTCTGAGCTGTAAGTAGAGGAGAGTACAGAAGTTAAATCCATCCCAAGATACATTCCCTATGGAAAAAAGACTGGGGGCAGACAGACTCTTCCCTGTGTCCCACTCCTCTCAAAGGATGGAGTACCTGTGGAACTGAGGAATCAACACACCAATGTGAGGTGGAAGGGAATGGGAAGGATGAGCTCAGAGAATTTTGTTTCTTTCAGTGAACCTTTAGCTAATGGCCCACTACCTCACACACTCATTTTCTACATCTATTGGGTAATAAGCCTGTGACACACAGCATTCCCTCCCTCTGCAGAAATGAGAGCTAATGACTTGGTTTCAGCTTTTCTTTGTAACCTAGATCATAGAATCACAGAATGGTTTGGGTTGGAAGGGACCTTAAAGACCATCTAGTTCCAATCCCCCTGCCATGGGCAGGGACACCTTCCACTAGACCAGGGTGCTCAAAGCCTCGTCCAGCCTGGCCTTGAACACTTCCAGGGATGGGGCATCCACAGCTTCTCTGGGCAACATGTTCCAGTGCCTCACCACCCTCTCTGGGAAGAACTTCTTCCTGATATCTAATCTAAACCTCCCTGTTTTCAATTTAAACCCATTGCCCCTTGTCCTGTCACTACAGGCCCTTGTACAAAGTCCCCTCCCAGCATCCTTGTAGACCCCCTTCAGATAGTGGAAAGCTGCAATGAGGTCTCCTCGGAGCCTCCTCTTCTCCAGGCTGAACAAGCCCAATTCTTGCAGCCTTTCATCATAGGAAAGGTGCTCCAGCCCTCTGAGCATCTTTGCGGTCAATATCCTTCTGGTATTGAGATGTGGGCTTCAACCTTTGCCTGCTTCTAAAAGGTGTTGGACCAAAGCATAAAAGGGGAAAACAGGCAGCTTTTACAAAGCTTTGTAGAGAAAACATGCTCTTTAACAGGTTATTTGAACATATCTTCTACCACGTTATGTATTCCAACAGCATGCAGATTCTTTCAAGGGGAAAGAAAAAAAATTAACGAGTTACGATAAACACCGGAGTTTTGGAAACACAATGCATGAGATTTAACAGCTCTCAGTGTTTTCCTCCAAGCAAGACCGAGTGGGTGGCAGTCACTGCTGTAGAGCACTTCATTCAAGATGTGATTCTACTGCACATGTGCGGGAGAAAAATACCAAAAGCATTGGTCCTGATTAGTTTTACTTTAGATAATGCACTCAAAACACTCAAACGTCTCCACTCTCTTATAAAACCACTTTCTTTGTCTTCCCTGCTGCCACAGTATTCGTGGGTTGGTCAGCATTAGTACACATGGCAGCATTTAAAACAGACATTAAATCCAACAAGACAAGAAACTGAAGGCTCAGCTGCAAAAAACAAGAGGATGACTGAGGAAGGCAAAATGAAACCCAGAGTCAGTTATGGCAGCTATAGAAACAAGAACATTTAATCCACACAAAACCCACTTGGGTCATTAATCATGACCAAGCACAGGACATGCAGAAAGAAAGTGTGATGTATGTAAATGTTATACTGGCAGTTAGCAGTGGATTGACACTGCTTGATCAGGAAACATCTACATGCCATCAGGTAAAATACAAGATCTTGAAAGAAAGAGGAAGTTTGTTAGCACTAATGGTACAGAAAGCTCCTTTCAGTGGCCAGACTAAGTGCTTAGACATATAATGACATTCACTATAGAAGTAACAAGAAAACTCTTACCAGAATTACTTTGCCAGCCTAACACATTTATCTTCTGTCTGGAAGAAAAAGCAGATATATTTGGGAAATATCACCCTTGGTTCACCTGTTTTTAAAAAGAGAAAAAAAAACACATCACAGTTAATATGCAGTTTCTTTGGTGTTAAAGCCCATTTTACAATAGCTATTATGAAATTTATGAAGAGTCCTTGAGGTGTTTTGTTTTTTGTGGGCTTTTTTCTTTTTTTGAGCTTTCAATCTCTAGTTTTCACTTTTAGGTTATGACTGTACAGAACCAAAATCCTATTACAGAGGAAATAATTGGTGCATCCAAAATAAGTTACCATAATGAAGTCCATTAGTTTATAAAATGTAAAGTGAGCTAGACATGCAGGTTGAAACATTTCCCTCTACAAACAGCGTGAATTTGCAGTGATCACCACCTGCAGACGTAATACTTGTACCCGGAGCTGCAAGTGCTTCAAGTGACGGGTAGCGTGAGTAATTGAACTGCGCAGCCGGGTGCTGACGTACACGCATTTTAAGCCTGGTCTGTTTTGTCCTGACAGATAACCAATCTTCATTACACTGAGCACTGGAGAACGCAGTTAATAAAATTGGAAAGGTACAGCAGGGAGAAGTGATCACCCGATTCACTCCAGAATGGCCAGAAACAGCAAGACTGTTATCCCTAGTAGAGGCTTCAGCAACACCACACACCAGCTCTGCACAAAGGGCAAAAAGATCCTTAACAACAAGGAAAACGGTTGCTATAGTGAGGATCCATTCATAAAGCCCCAGCACCCCACAGTCCTTGCTGTAAACTAAACTGTCAAAGGGTTTAGTAATTTTTCATTTCAAAATGTCACGTTTCTAGTTATCACACTACCCCTCACCTCTTCAGAGTGTATTCAATCTAAGGAAAAGAAAACCTCCCAAAATACTCTTATTTACTTAAACAAGACTGAAAAGCTCCTGAAGTATCCTTTAAATTCTAATGCATGGTTTTGTCTGGCTGAATACTTTCTCTGCTGTTTCCTAGAAGGGATGCCAAAAACATTACCTCTGCCATTGATTTCTGCAAGCTCTTGGCATTTTTGCCACCATTTTCAAACCTTGAACAAGTGCTAATTACTAACGGGACTCCTTACCAGTCTTCCCTATCCTAACTCCTATTTTTCAAAATTGCTGTTAGGATATTCTCGTGCTTGGTGCCACTGAGTACACTTTAACTAAGTCCAGTTTCTAACAAAGTCCTAAAATTCAGCCTGGAGAGGAGAAGGCTCCGGGGAGACCTTATTGCAGCCTTCCAGTACCTGAAGGGGCTACAAGGAAGCTGAGGGGGACTTTTTACAAGGGCCTGTAGTGACAGGACAAGGGGTAATGGGTTTAAATTGAAAGGGGGGAGGTTTAGATTGGATATCAGGAAGAAGTTCTTCACAGGGAGGGTGGTGAGGCACTGGAACAGGTTGCCCAGAGAAGCTGTGGATGCCCCATCCCTGGATTTCTTCAAGGCCAGGCTGGATGAGGCTTTGAGCAACCTGGTCTAGTGGAAGGTGTCCCTGCCCATGGCAGGGGGGTTGGAACTAGATGGTCTTTAAGGTCCTTTCCAACCCAAACCATCCTGCGATGATATGATTCTATCCACTGACACATGAGGCAAAGAGAGATGAACTCTCCAAACCCACCTTTACTGAAGTGCCCACAAATAGGGGTGCTCCAGTTGTGAGCTAGGCTACATGTTAAGCTTTATTCTCTTAATGTGGTAAAGAGGCAAAAGTGCATTGGCTATCAGCGGGAATGTGAAGGGTGGTAACCAAGAAAAGACTCAAACTTTCCACTACAGAAGTCTAGGTTAGTCCTCAGAAGACATTATACCCACATTTAATTAATTGTGGGGGAAAATAGATGGGGATAGGAAGAGAGGTAAAAAAAAAAAGAAAAGAAAAAGACCAAATTACTTCAGTGTTCTCAGATGGCAAGTAAATTAAAATTGTAATGAGCACAAACATTACATGAAAGACCTCTTTAAGGAAGGAGAGAAACATCCTAGGTTCCCCAGACAAGCTCCTAATACTTGGCCTCCCTTTGAGCGCTTGGGAACACCACATATCATCCACAGCCTCACAGAAAACCAACTTATCCACTCAGCCAACATTTACGATTCATTGCAATGGAGTAGCTTCAGTGGTTTTGCAGTTGTACCAGGTAATCAGAAGATATAAAAAATATGCCATCCATCATGTTTCAGTGTCCTTCCATCCCAAACTTCACTCTCCAGGTTTCCTGAACTGCTTGCCCTGTTATATGGGTTTAACATATATTAAATAAAGCCATATTCTAGCTGAAGGGTGAATTCTCCATGTCAGTGATCAGTACTATTTTTTTGATGCTAATGCAAAAAGACATCAAGCATGTCTTCTTAATGCAAGAATTATATTTATAATTAGTAAGGAATTAAGAAGCTCTCATTCTACAGTGCAGAAAACACTGTAAAGAGACACCACACTGGATAATGAAGCACTTGCAGAGGAAGGACTCGCTCCAACAAGCACTAGCTGCTTCTCAGCTGTGCCTCCTTCTTTATCTGCAATTAAGTTCTGAAATGAACTGACAGCACAAACGTGCCTTTGGAAACAGTTTTGGATATAACCTCATTATTCATCCTGTCTTGAAACTAGAGACAGGCAACAACACAAGGCAAACTGAGAAGTAATTAATCGGCTTCCAAAAAAGCTGCATGTGCACAGACAACTTTCTTCCCTTTCATATTTGTTTCCTGACAGGTTATTTGAGCACTTCAAGCACACTGCTTTTCGAAGAACTCCTCAGTGAACAACCTGCCCTCCTGATGCTCTAACACAGCCAACGCACTGTAGAAGTGGGTTTTTTTGGGTTTGTTTTCTTTTTAAAACAACAAATCTACCCCCACTCTAGTTTCGGCTTGCTTGTCACCTTCTCTTCCTGTTGCAGATTGTGGTATGCTGATACACCCTACCATCACAGCATCTCACCTTACTCCAGGAAAGAATGTCAGCTGATTTGCTTTAGGTAGGAACTACTCTACTGCAGAATTTTTCTTTTGTTTCAAGTGACACATCTTTAACTGCCATGGTACCTGCTAATATGGAAGCAGATGCTACACAGAACACCTGCACTGAGGTAGAGTGCCTTCACCTCTTTAGACTGCAGCAATGCCACCTTAATGAGGGAAAAACCCCAAACCCTAAAACATCACACATGAACTACGCCATAAGAGAGCTGGAAGCAGCCTATCAGAAGGTATTAAGTTCTGCTCACCACTGCTGTGTATGC